ATGACCCCTTATAAAAATACTACAATTTAATATTCTATTCAAGTAAAGAAAAAAGTATACTGTATGGGTCAATGGAACTACATGCCATAGAATACACAACTCCCCTCCATAATTGGTCCCGAGTTAGCCGGTCATTACAGGTGCATGTCGAACAGTCGTGCCTTCAGCTAAGCGTACGACATCGAGCTTTTGGGTGAGCGTCGGTCAGTGTCGAGGCTTCGTTGGCAGCACTGTGGCTGCAGGTAGCACTGACATTCAAGGTTATCAAGTAGTGGGGTGGAAAGTTGTTTAACTTGTGCTGGGAAAAATTCCGCCAATCATAGTCGAGGTAACGATATCGATGATTATAATTGGCTGATTTGAAAATTTATTCCCGCGCCGTTACTCAGCGTCGTTCCCTGTAAATTGCCCCTCCATGCAGCTTGAAATTCGCAGTTTCGTCCTCATCAACACGAACTCAAGTCAGTATCACTATGAACATTGGGATTCCCTTTTTGTTGTCTATCAACTGCCACCATAACCAGACGAGCGTGTTATGCGGATTATTTGCCGTCTTATCGTTGGGGGTGCAAAAAAGTACTAACGTTAGTACAATAAGTCAAAATATATAGTCTGATTATACGTACCGTCGTACCATTGGGGATGCCCTTAGCGCAATTGTACAGTACATACTAGTAGCATGATGCTATTAATAGTACAATAAGTCAAAATATAGTCTGATTATACACCATTGGGGTTAGCGCATTAGTACATACTAGTAGCATGATCATAGACGAAGGCGTACAAGTAACTACATATCATAAAACTTTACTAGAGGGCAAGATATACTGTATATCCATCCACTTCATCACTCAAGGTCCATTCGATCCATGCTGCAGCGACTAGGTGTTTTTTTTTGACAAACACATTGAGTTGGGCAAGGATGAGATACAAGTACTTTCAGACTGTAACTTGGTACCGACTTGTACAAGGATGAGATACAAGTACTTTCAGACTGTAACTTGGTACTTCCGCCTTGTACAGGATGAGATACAAGTAACTGCGTGTGGACAGCTGTATGTAAGTCAGTTGCATACACATCAGTTGTTGGCCCAGCAAGCACGGATCCCATTCTGCGCTGCAGGAATAGAATTCATCAAAGTTGAATACGGTCTTAACTGGGTAAATAGCTGGCGAAGAAGCACTACTAGTATGCGATGGGACCACTTGGTCCCATGTGGTCACGACATGGACATTCCTTTCACCAGTACGTGGAGAATAGGTAGATTAAACACACCGGAAACTCCAAACTCCGAGTATTAATACATGAATATAATGTACACTTTATTGAAGCAGAATACAATACCAATCAATCCCTCCCAGAAAACCCATCAATACAGTTGTACCGATGGTATCCAGAATCCGGATTCTTGCAAACGAATAGTTTTGATTTTTGTCAAAAAGTCGCTCGGAATCTGCGAAATAACCAGATTCCTTAAATTGTCCGTTATTCCGCCGGTAAAGGTGCGGTGGTATGGGGTATTTTGAGCGAATTAAAAAACTGGCTTGGCTCATCGGCGTCGGTCAGTCACGTGGCGTCGCGGTGGGTGTGGCGATGGTTGTTCGGCTCACGCATCTCATCCAAGAGGCGGACTCTGTCCTCATGGACCGGTTGAGCCATCGCCTGCACTGGAAAGATCCGTCGGTCACGTTCGAATGCCATCATTGCAAGACGTTTTTCCACTGGAATCCCAAGTCCAACTGCGCCATGTGCGGGAACGTCGTGTGCGTCGATTGCTCCGAAGCAGCCAAAGTCGAGGGCACCATGGTAAGTCTTCGGACTGGCGACGTCCGATATGTCACTGTCGTCGTGGACGTGTGCGTGCCTTGCTACTACACCTCGCTCATGACCCTCTCCACTGCATCCGTGGCCAACGCGTGCGACGACGACATTAAAGCAAAACTTCGTCCGGAACGGCCCACCTTCCGCCACCTGGGACAATCTCTTCCCCTTCACTCCATTCACGAGCATCGACCTCCACAAACACCCGTGTCCAGGAAACCTCCGCCGACAAGTCAGTCCATGCCGCCACGTCCCCCTAAACGGTCCTTCTGGAAGCGATAGCCACGTACAATCAATCGTCCATTCCACTTCCCAGCGTCTTGAAAGTGTGCGAGGACATGCATCCCTTGCTTGGCCAAACATATGTCTCTCATACCATTGTCGGATCCTTCCAGTGCTGCACAAGTGGATACAACGAGCAGGGAACTCCTCTTTCCAACCCACCAAGCAACCAGAAACTCTCCCATCGCCGCGAATCTCTGGTGCCCCCGGTATACTGGATGTGTTGCTACGTCACATCGTACAGCACCACGCCAACCCTCTGGTCCCCCATGTCCTACTTGCCAAAGCTGCCAATTCCGCGCCAGATTTCGTCTACAATATGTACTATTTGTAATTATTTATGTATTTGAAAGTATGTTGCTGGACGCTTGTACTATCGTTCAAAGTATTCATCCGTTAAAGGCAAGGGTGTGACTGATAACATTTAAGAATATTTCATATTTTCGCGCAAAATGCGATTAACCAAAATGCCATTTTCAAAACGGAGGTAAAAGGTCCATTTTATACTAAGCTTATGGCAATTTGGACCTCTTCAACGAGTAAATCCCACGTGGAAGTATTCATTGGATTTGGGCTAAATCTCTTCAAGCAAAACAAGTTTCAATTTTGATCTAATTTGTTGAATTCGGCCCCAAAATGGCGTTTTGGGCCTGAATATTGCAATATTTCAGGTTGCCAGACGCAACCTAATGACCTCAAATGCTACGAATAATGTGTTACTTCGAAGTAAGGTACTATTAATAAGTACGTAGTAGTTTTGATAGCACCACAAGTGAATATAAACACCACCCCATCCTTATATGTATGATTTGGAACAGGATTGGACTACATTTCAGATTCGTTGCGAAATTGTCAATGTTTTGAGCTCTCAATGGAAAGGTGACTTTTGCAACTCATTCCATTCCGCATCCATGGCAGCGCCCTGACAAAACCAGAGTTACCTCTTAAAAATATCGTAGTTAGAGCCTGTTCGTTCCAAGTAGAATTCGAAAATCGCGAATAAGGGGAGTGACAAAATACTTCTTCCCATTTTGTTGCCATTTTACGGCCATGTTTGATGGGCATAAGTCGTGTCCAGAAAATGCAAAGTGATTCGACAACATAGTATTGAACCAAGGGTTTTCACTGGCTCCCGTGGCCAAGGTCCAAGCCGAGGTCCGTCGTTGCGCTTAACACCCAGCGGGGTGTACCCAAATTACTGTATGGTGATTGAATATGCACCAATCAAACAGTGAACCTCTGAATTTCACAATTACATAAATAATGAAGGTTAAATGGAATATACGCCTTAAAATTTACATACAAAATTCAGCAAGTTACAAAGTATCGATCAATAGATTTGGCAAATCAGCACAAAAGTCCAAATTTTGGGTAAAAGCACAATATATAATGCTAGTAGGGAAATGCCAAATTGAAGGAGGAGGGCGGTCTTAGTGACTCATGCGGCCAACGTCTGCGTGAAGGCATTCAATCGAATACATTGAATCGATCTGGGCAAACCGCGCTGCAAATCCACTTTCCCGCAAAAATCAATACTTTATTCACTAACAGAGGTTTTGTTTAGACCTCATCCTGCAAGCGCAACCCGACTGCCTTCGCATGAGTGCCTCGACAAGTACTTACTGTTAGTAGTACTGTAAGGTGATTCATGTAATTCCCGGCCAGCAAATGGCCAATCACAATCATCCAAGGAAAATGATGGACAAAATTACGTATTCTTGTATCACATACTTGTAAAATTTAATATCTGCTTGTCGGATATTTTTTACAGTTTTTGTATTACTTACGTAGTAGTTGCACTTCTAAATTTAATTACTTAAACACTTTATACATATCATTATTAAGAGGTTCTGAGGATTTTGTCACCCAAATCAGGAATTACATTATTCAAGTGCCTTACTGGCCGGGAATTAAATTCACACAGGGAAATTTCAAATTTAGAAATTCGATGAGCAAATTGACCACAACTCTGAGAGTTGTGTTACAGTTAATATTGCTTTGCAGAAATCGTCTGTGAAACGCTATTTCTCGGAATCGTAACATCAAGGATTTGTATGGGACTGAATAAAAATACAGCCAATAGAATGCGCACGTAATAATACTACAGCCAATAGTATGCAATCCCTCAGAAATGGAGTGCATCTATTGGTTAAATGTTTAGTGTTCGAGAATTCGATGCGTTACCTTACCGGTACTTCGAAGTATGTATCTCACCCGAAGATGCATTATTATTGTGTCCACAAGCACAAGTTACTTTTATTATATTACTGTCGTCTGTATTCATATATTATTAAGACTAACGTTAGTATTACAGTCCGCGGCAGCACCGAGGGCTGGCATTCATTGAAAAATTATCGGTTTTTCCTGTATTTTACACAGAGGTTGCGTAATAAAAAACTATTTTATTAACTCTGGCATTGAAACACTTTAAAACAGCATATCCTGTCACATATAACGTTTGAAACCAAAATCTTGAATATAACCATACCACAAATATAGATAACTTGTATATCATGATATTTGGTACGTCCTCTGTTCCAAATTACTGCGGACGAACGCAAAAGTAACTTTTTCCAAATTACTGTACCCATTACTCATTGATTGGTCAATGCAGAAATACGTTCATCTTATTGGTTATAATTGTATCTACCATTCATTGCAGAAGCGACACAGGGCATATCACATTGGCCATGAGCGTACCGGTACGTCTCATGGCAGCCTTGTTCATGTGCGGCAAGCGAAACTGATTGTCCCCGTTGTGCTCTAGCACAAGGCGCATGACCGCCTGGAAGGTGAGAAAGACATTATCAAGCTTCTCTACACTGAGCTCGTCGTATGCAGCCAAAGTTGCGCGAATGCCATCGTCGACCGTGCGACTCACGGACTTGTACTGTAGCGCTTGAATCGAGGCAAAGAAGCTAAGATCTAGGACGTTCAAGTCCGGGCTGTAAGGCGGATGTCGTCGAACAGTAAATATCCACTCGTCATGCGTCACGGCCTGCAGAACAGCGTCGCAGATGGACATGTGTGGCGTCGCGTTGTCCTGCTGCAACATCACGCGCTTGGAGACACTGGGCATTTTGGCCTTGATGGCAGGTAAGACGAGATTGAGCACAAAGTCCTGGTACACTGCAGGATCGACATTAACCAGCGTAGCCACCAACGTTCCGCCTGAACGATTGCGGGATGAACGCGCCGCGGGCATCATCGTGATGAACTGCCACATCCCAATCTTGCCCTCGAAGTCAAGATTTCCATCCGCATCGAACTGAGGGCGCGCCACGGCTGCAAGGAACATGAACTTCGGAATAAACCTCTTGCTCTTGCAGGCGCGGCCTTTTGGAGTTTCGCCTTTCGTGAGGTAAACCTTTCGGCGATCCTTGTCCGCATTGAACCACTTCTCGTCAAGATGTACGATGTCGATTATGTCCGAAAATGGCAATTCCACGAGGGTGCTGCCATAGCCACGCGAGCGAGGTAGCCGCGATCCAGCGGACATGCGAGCGACAAATTCCAACGCGTTCGGCTGTGTTGGCATCGGTCAACATTGGTTTCAATCGTGAAGAGCGACGTTGCAGCGTCCCGGCCTTGAGGTTGCAGCAGATTGTTCCGAACGAGAGTCCCGTGGCGACGGAGATGTCTCGCATCGTTGTGCGCTGCTCTTGCGGTACGGCTTGAACGAGTTGAGTGACGTGGTCCGGCGTATAGTGCAACTTGCGCCCGACTCGGCCCGCCTTTTTTTATGGCGAGGAGCCCTGAGTGATGAACCCATTCCAGATGGACGAAACTGTCTTGCGGTTGATTCCAAGCCGGGTCGCAGTGGCTTGGATGGAGCCACGTGGCAACTTGCCAAAGGTCAGGAGGCATTGGAGGTTATGGATGACCTCCAACTTGTTATCGTCCGAGAGTTCTCGTCGAGCGCGGGCATGGCGGCAAATTCAAAAATGACCTCAAGGCCCCGGGATAATTAAATAAACCTATATTATTTTGTATTTTTTTTTCTGATGCCCGATGACGAATCAAAATTACACCCCGAAATTGGTGGTTTTGAGCGTTGCGGTCAATGGACAATACCTTTATAATTGAATTGTCTTTCAGACATGGTAGGATTCATTAAATTTGGCCTGAAAATGATTTTTTGGGGTCGCTGGGAAGCCAAATGTCCGCAGTAATTTGGAACAGAGGAAGTATGGTCGAGGCTATTGTCGATTTGATACAAATTTGGGGAGGGGGTGCAATCGAATCGCGCCAACCAAACCGATCCACAATCGATCTGATTGGTTGAATTTCATTGAGAAGGTTTTGATTGGCTCATAATTTTGAGCTCATCTGAAGTAGCCAATCAAATCGATTTAAATTGAAACCACGCCACAACACGACATTTCACTCGAAAGCACAATACACAATTTTCATTCATCTTTACAATATTGAGTATTGATTTATACAGTTTATTGTATGGTGAATATGTACTCCCATATATGATCCATCCGGATAATTATCCGTTAAGCCTGTAATACGTACCAAATGTACCTTGTTAACAGTAAGTACATCTATACATCCATCCTGTCACAGCAACCCCAACGTGCGCAGTCGAGAGTCGTACTCGGACCGGCCAATGTAGCATCCAATGAGCGCCCGCTCGCCTTGAAACGCATGTCGGCCATGCATCACGCGGTGATTATCCACGACAATCATGTCGCCTTCGTCCATTTTGTACACCACTTCACCCTAGTACCCACACATCACCCATGAGTGTACATACTACTAGTAATCCTCCTAGTACTACTACTGACCGCGTTGATCACGTCCCACAACGTCTTGTGGTGTTTATAGTAGGCGGCCACTTGGTCGTGGCTCAAGTGCGTGAGCGGCGCGCGGTCGTAGTCGTTGAACCGGACCAACTCGACGTTCCCCGCGCCATCTCGCTGGATCAGCGGCCGCATCACATGCAACGACACGTCATCGTCAACACAGTATTGCGGTAACGCCGTGTCGCAGAAAAACTGGAACGCGTCCGGCGCGTACTTCCGCAACCACTCGACGACGTGGAAGCCATCGACGAAGCGACTCGCGCCTTCGTCTGCGTTTGCGGCGGCAGCCTGCAGGACGCAGTTGAAGATTTGAAGACCCGGCGGTTCGTACAGGTACGTGCAGTCGGTGTGCGGTCCCAGCGCCAAGTTGGTCGACGCCGTGTCTTTGTACGCGTTCTCGGGATTCACGGGGCGTGTGGTCCACATGCGACCGTAGATGGTTTCCAGAACGAACCCAATGCGCCGTGCAAATGCTTCCGTCGCGTCCATGCTTGACGGAGTGTGTTTGATCTACACATGTCGAGGGTGTTGGGAGAGGATATACAGGATGAGCGAGGAAGTACCAACAGCACGCCAAACTTCTGCAGTTGGGCCATCCCGTCCTTGAAGCCACCGCTTCCATTATCCATCATGGCGTCGTACGTTGTAGATGGAAGCGTGAAATCGTTACCCCACAACGACTTCGTGTCCACACGCTGCTGCCGATAATGCCGGCTGTCATACCCGTCGGAGGGAATCCCATATGCATGTTCTCGCAACCAAGTCGCAGGGAATTCACTCCGCACGCAGTCCGAGCCGCTCTACATGAACATCAGATCTCACGAAGATGGAAATATAAAGAGTGAACACATACCACAACGTCGTCCCAATCGATGGAGAGTACAGAATTGTTGGCATGGAGCGATGCGTGTCCCGTGGGATGGAGGGGAATGGCAGACGTGAGGATTTGCCGCTGGAGGGTCGTGGGATGTTGACACGACGGACACGTGCAGTTGTCGCGCAGCCACGCACGATGAAATGTGGACGACACGCCGTCTTTCCACGTGACGTGGATAGCTGCATCATCGTTCGTTGGCTTGACCGCTTGAAGCACTGTTTCTGCTGCTGGGATAGATGCTGTAGTGTGTGCGAAGCGCAGAGAGATCGTCCCCACGGACCGGCGGAGCAAAAGGCGGCGACAGAACATGCTGTCAGTCACGTGCGTCGACAGAGAAGGCGCAGGGCCGTGCGAGAAAAAAAGTGAGGACGTCCATGGATTGTTGATGCAGCACCGGATTATCCGGAATATCGCCACATTATCCGGAATATCGAGATTATCCGGATCATGCCCACGATGTCGAGCCATAATTCCCTATTTAGGACCTCAATCAGGACAGCCATCCGGTGTATTTCAGACCATCCGCCTCACTTCAACTTGACTGTTAACCGGATGGGTTGAACTTCAAACTTCCACAACTTAATGTTAACCGGATGGGGTAAACTTTTCATACGCCGACGTCAACGTGGAGAAGAGGTGCTGCCCTAGCATCCGCTCGTACATGGAAAAGTCCGCCGGCAGCAGCTTGTCTGGGTGTAGGAGCCGCACCGCCTTCATGTACCCTTTCTTGACAGTCGCGTCGTCCGTGACGTGGCACTGCCGCATGTCTTTGAAAGGAAAGATCTCATGGAGCGAGTTGAGCATCGCTTGAACGTCCTTGTGGTGGGCCCAACTCGCGACGGCGGCATCAATGCGCTGGCTGTGGGCTACGGCTTCTTCCGCGTCCTTTTCTTGCTGCACGCGGTGGCCTTCGTGCCACTGCCGTCGTTCCTATATGTAGTAGTACGTTTGTTAGTAGTACTAGCCACTCGACCTAGCGGCACCTCGAGGCGGCGTTGCGTTGCTTCGTGTTGAGCCAGCAGCCGCTCTTCGATGCTCTCCAGCACCGCGTGGTCCGGCTTGGTCCACCGAGTGGCCCGCGTGAGCTTATGGTAATAGTACACTTGACCAGCGTCAGTTTGCACTTGAATCCAATTGGAAGTAGTTGCTGTGGTCGTGGCTGGCAAACTGGTCGTGCGCACTGGCTGGGGTGGCAGCAACGTGGCCTCGGCTACTAGTACACCACCATAAACAGGGAATTCGACCATGTAAGTACATATTGTCGATTTAATACAAATTTGGGGAGGGGCCAAACCGATCCACAATCGATCTGATTGGTTGAATTGAATTGAGAAATGGGTTTTGATTGGCTAATAATGTTGAGCTCATCTGACGTAGCCAATCAAATCGATTTCAATTCCAACGAGAAACAACAGCACAATGAAATTTCACTCGAAAGCACAATAGTAGACCACTCACGTTCGCTGGGCAATAATGGCTGCTGCAGTTGCTGCTGCTGTTGCTTGACGCGTTCGTCCAGGCGCAAGTGCGAACTTCGTTTCCCCGGCCAGTTCAAGCTCTGCGGCCGCTTCCGCGTCTTTCGCGCCGTCGCCGCCGCCGCCGCCTTGCCCATCATCCTTCCAAGTCATTCCCAATCCTAGTCCATGCCGTCATACCTCTTCGTCGGCCGCCTGTTGTTCTTGACTGGCGGCGGCAAATGCTCGCTTGGCCTTGGTCAGTTGTTTGCGTCGAAGTCGTTCAATGTACAAGTCCCAGTCCCCCGGTACTACCGGCGGTTTCTCGATTGGCTTTCCCCCGTCGTCACTCGAGGCTTCCCCTTCCTCGTCCTCCTCGCCGCCAAACAGCGTCCGTGCCGCCGTCGCCTCGTCCGTCTCGCCGTCCTCCCGTCGGCGCCGCCGTGCCGGTCCTGCATACCCCGCAACCCCAAACAAAGCAGCAGCCGCTTCGACGTCTACATCTCCGTCTCCTTCTTCGTCGGGACGCACGGCCCACGGCTTTAGCGGCCGGCCGAGTGTCGGATGCACCAGCGGCGGCACCTCTTCCCGGCTCTGCTGCCTGACTCGTACCTTCCACATGGGGTGGCTCGTGTCCACCAAATGCTGCCGCAATGCTGTCCACTCGTCGCGCATCGCTCCATGTCGAGCTTCCAACTGCATGGCCCCTTGCACCAAGTTGGCCACAAGTGTCTTGGCGCGCACGACGCTGAGTTCATCCCACTCGACGGCGACTTTGTCCACGTTGGTTGCCGTCATATCTTTGCCAAGTTCGTGCACTTGACGTTCAAACCGAGGCAGGACCTATATATATATATAATTATATATCATCTATATATAATATACAAGTTCCCACGAAGATCTCTACCCTCCTCCTCCACGTACGTACATGGATATGGTGGAACGCAAACGGTTCTTGCAAATGCACTTCCCACACCTAGATACTGTCATAAGTAGTAGTAGTACTAGTAGTAATACTAGTAGTCGTCCTATACCGTGGCCGTGTCTTGATGCAGTCGCGCGTGGCTACTCCCAATGTCCCTCCATGCTCCCCATACATCTGCGACGCTGTTTTCGTGTTTCGTGGGTGTTTCGTACGAGTGTTCAAACGACTGAACGATGTCGCAGTGGCGTCGCATGGCCTCGACGGCCGTCGCCATGGCCACGTGCGCTTGGACGACCTCGTCGCTTTGTTTCGTGACCATTTGGAGACGCCGCTGTAATGGAGGCACGGCCTCGAGCAACGACTTGTACGACTGATTCATCCGTTGTTTGGCGTGGGCTGGCCCCATCGCTTTCGTGCTATTGATCATGATGCTGGACGACGAAGATGGAGTGGTCGACCGAGGAAGGGCGATGGAATCGGGATGGAGGATGGCGTCATGCAGGAACGAGTGAGTATACGGCGACTTGCTCAATGCATCATGCAGTGAAATGTACGTCACCCAGCGCTCCAGCAACCGCCGCCGCCGCTCCGTGAATGCCGGCTGAAATCGGGATTGACCTCCTCGTAGTAACGAACTCTTTGGGGGCAAGGAGGGTATGCATGCGCATGGATACACGATAGAAAGGCGCTCCCACAACCAGGCAAAATCCTTGAACCGCCGCTTCACAGTCGTAGCGCCAGCATCCCCCCCCTACCAACGGCCATGACGATATGCACATGGAGAGATATGCTGTAGAAACCTTACCACGCCATGTCTATGAACGACAATCCAGTATACCATGTACGCGCTATGTCCGGTTCCAATCTTTTCGCTGCCAGAGATGGACACAATCGTGGTGGGCGGCAAGTCGTCCGAAGGAGGCTCGGACCGATGGAGCGCGGCAGCGTCTGTGGATATAGGCGACGGTGCAGAGTTCCGCCTCGAGGGTACTTCATGCATGGAGGATTCGGCAGTGGTGTTCATGGACGCTGCGCATGTCTGTGACCGATGCAGTTGAGATCGCGGCGAGGATGTTGTTGGCGTGTCAGATTCAGGTATCCTCGTGATGTTGCCCAAATGAAGCTCAGCCACGCGGCGAAGACTAGGTTTGCATATTTCGACCACCTGCTTCGGCGCCAACAACTCTGTGTGCTGCTTGAATGTGGCTTTGATCTCCTTGTACACGTCGGACATCAACGCCTTCGTCCGTCCTTCCTGTGACAGAGCCATGTCTTCGATCTGGCCATAGAGCGATGCGATCTGAGCATGAAGGGATGCGATCTCCTCCAACGCTTCCGCGCGGCCTTCCACACGACCCAGTTCCCTTGCCTGACTTTCAAACGGATCCATCCTCGAAGCCAAAGTCGAATATAAAATGAGAAAGGTTTTTGAAAGTTGAAATATCCATTTATACAAGATACACTCCAAATGATGATGTCAAACAACATGGTCCATGTGCTGCAGCAGCGAGAAAGGCGCGGCAATCCGCGGCGACTGGCGATGTCTCGAAGGACATGCTGGAGCGTAGACGATGTCTTGTCCGTGGAAGAGCATGCTGTGCTGCTCGGATTCAGCAACAGTGGGCGATACCTCAGTAACGTTACGACTGGTGTCGTTGGAGAATCCACTTACGTCATGTGCATCCTAGTGTACTACAAGTCTTGCGACCAAGGGCTGCTGCAGGTGTATTGGCGAATATTCAATCCGTCTTCGACTCCATTGGTGTCCCCAGGCACGGCGTTGGCCATCTCAGTTGGGCCGTGTGCAGCGTCATCGCTGCAGAACTGTGCATATGACGGTACAAACATCATTCTACTCCTGCATGTTTATGAAATGGGGGTAGACGACATGGAGCTTCGCGTATGGGAAAGCATCGATGAATCCCTCGTGGTGGCTATCTCGAATTCAGGTCGACGTCCAGGGACAGCATTCCACGTGACAGTGTCCTGCGGTCCGTCGGCACCTCGTTCATCCGTGATCGGCGCGCTTCGACTTACCCTCTCCACGACCATGTCAATTCCTGAATGCTGGTTCTTCGTTTCGTCGACATCCCAGCTCGTGTTCCACGTCGGAAGTTCCTTGCTCCTCTTCTCCCTCAACTGCGGCAACCGCCGTGCCCCCATGCTTCCCCGTACCCCCCGCCCGTGCATTCTCCCTAGCCACTAAAAGTCCTTCTTGAACAGATTCGACCAAGCCATGGTACTACGCGTCCGAGTTTCCCGTCGAGGTCGTCGCAGTGCCGACGGACGGTACGCATCCTGTCACGACCACCAGTGATCATCCCACCAAACTCCTCCTGCAGGTATGTATGATTTCCATCCTTCTTGGACATTTCGTGCATGTCCACTCTCGACTCACGCTAGTGTGCGCTGGAATCCACGTTTGACGTCGAAGTGTTTCTGCAGAGTCTCTTGGACTCTTCTCCCACACTTCGTTCGTTCCATCTCCACGACTACGACCTCCGCCACCTCTGTGTTCGTCCATCCATCACGAGCAGCAGCTCAGCTTCCCTCGTCAACAACAGCAATGCTACGTAGGTGGCAGACTCGACATGGCTGTACATGTGCGTCGTGGCGGCCCTCGACCAAGACGGCGGCAGTCGTTGTCGTCGTCGCGTCGGCATCTTCTTCGCATGGAACGTCCTCGACGGCTCGTTTCAAACCCTGCGCCTCGTCTCGGTGCCTCTCCACACCCCGTTGAACACCGCCTCGGACGCGATGCTGCTTCGGTGCCGCCGCGCCATCTCGTCCATCCAAGCCACTACTCATCCCCCCACGACTTGTTCCAACTCTTCTTGGTCCAGTTCTGTCCCGTCGTTCAACATGTGGACCAACGCCGGTGTGCTTTGCGGCACGTCTGTCGGCCGCCTCGACAACCCCGCGTGGCCGTACGCCATCTCCAGATGATGCAATAGTGCTTGTCATTTTACCCAAAATTTGGACTTATTCTCGCCAAATCAGTACTTTGTCCTGACTTTTGTATTAAAATATCTTTACACTAATTTCAGTCACACCCGATGTTGAATTCGTCGAATGTGAGTGGATCATTTTATTGGCCACTTGATTCGTGTTGTGGGTTTTGATTGGTCGATTTTTGATTGCGTGGGGTCGATTACACTGTCGTCCAATTTCGAATAATTTTACCAAAACATGAATAAAAACGAATGAACCATGTTAACACGATAGTAACGTTCTACTACGTCGAAGGATGGGGCGGCACCCCCCCTACATGCGTGACAAACAACGGCCCGAGCACAAGCACCGTCGTGGAGAGCAGCTTGATCACAACATGCAGCGCTGGCCCCGCCGTGTCCTTGAACGGATCGCCGACCGTGTCCCCCGTCACCGCCGCCTTGTGTGCTTCGCTGCCCTTGCCGCCAAAGTTGCCCAGCTCCACATACTTTTTCGCATTGTCCCATGCTCCGCCCACGTTATCCAGGAACAGCGCCATCATGATGCCTGTGACTGTGCCAAACATGAGGTACCCCGCCAACACTTCGGCGCCCAACAGCGGCTTATTTTGATACTCGCCCACCTACATATGTATATAGTACGCGATTGCAATCAATCATCGCATCCTTCCCGTGGCAAGATGGGTACGTACCACGCGGAAAACCAACCCGACGGCTACGGGCATGAGCACGGCCAAGAGTCCCGGGAGGCGCATCTGCTTCAACGCGGCCTTGGTCACGAGCGATACACATGTGCGGTAGTCTGGCTTTTGCGTACCCTGCATGATACCCGGGTACAGTTCAAACTGCCGCCGGACTTCGAGCACGACTTCGCCGGCCGTGTCCCCCACCGCCGCGACCGCCAGCCCCGTGAAGAAGAACACCATCATCGTGCCAAGCAATCCCCCCACTAGCACTTCGACCGTGGCAATGTCCACAGTCGTGAACGGCACGCCCGCGAACGCGCTAAACTCGTCCATGAACGCGCCAAACAGCACAAAGCACGCCAGAGCCGCCGACCCGATCGAGTACCCCTTGGTGATGGCCTTGGTCACATTGCCCGCAGCGTCCAACTTGTCGGTCGCATCACGGACGTACTCTGGCTGGCGACTCATTTCCGCGATCCCGCCCGCATTGTCGGCGATGGGTCCGTAGTTGTTCATCGCGAGCACAAACACGGCCGAGCTCAGCATGCCCATGGTGGCCACTGCCGTCCCAAACAGCCCGCCCGTGCGCCCGCTGCCGATACCGGCGGACGCGCCCAAGTGGTAGGCGGCAATGACACTAAAACTCACCATGAGGGTAGGCACGACCGTGGACTTCATGCCGACGGCGACCCCAGTGATGATGTTGGTGCCGTGGCCAGTGGTGCTAGCCTTGGCGATGGATCGCACTGGCGCGTACGCATAGTCGGTGTAGTACTGCGTCGACTTGACAAACACATAGGCGGTAACCATACCCACGACGCCGCAGAGGAAAAAGTGAAACCACGCGCCAGGAGCGGTGGACGTGAAGAGGAGCCACCGCGTGGATAAGCCAAACCCCGCCAGCGCCAACAACAATGTGATTGAGTACCCGCGTTGGAGCGTGGTCATCGGGTCCGACTCGGTTGGCCCGGGCTCGGTCACGCACAGGATGCCGATGGAGGACACGACAATGTCGAACGCGTGCACGACCACGGGGAAGAACACAAACGAGATGGGGGACTCGATCGCACCTTCCTTGGCGAGGGACCCGCCGAGGATCATGGCGCCGATGATCTCGGCCGCGACGCTCTCAAACACGTCGGCGCTGCTCCCGACGCAGTCGCCGACCATGTCCCCAACCAAATCGGCAATCACCGCCGGGTTGCGCGGGTCGTCTTCGGGGATGCCCTGCTCGACCTTGCCCACGAGATCGGCGCCGACGTCGGCGGCCTTGGTGTAGATACCCCCACCCAATTGCATGAACAGCGCCACGAACGACGCGCCAAACCCGTACCCGACCATGAGCATGGGGATTTCCGTGGCATTCACGATGGGCGTGAACGCGGCATGCAGCAACACGTATAGAATGCTCACGCCTGCCACGCACAGCGTGATGTCGAGGACGGCGGAAAACGCGCCGCCGCGAAAACAGATGAGCAGCGCCTCGCCGTACGATCGACGCGCAGCGCTCGCCACGCGAATGTTGGATTGCGCCGATACCCACCTAGAAACATGTCGTAGTTGGATTGTTGTTGAGGAATGATAACAATCATGAATGATGATGGATGAAAGGGAACGTTGCACTTACATGCTGATGTACCCGGCTGCCGCCGAACACATGGCACCTAACGCAAATGAGATCGCGCCAAGGACCCCAAGCGTGGTGTTTCCGAGCTTTTCGACGCCAGACGGGTGCAACGAGTTGGGACGCAGCGAGTAGCTGAAGAAAATCAACAGCGCCAATCCGACGGCGATCTGCGAAATGGCCGTGTACTGGATGCGGAGGAACCCTTCGGCGCCTTCGCGGATAGGAATGGAAACTTCGCGCATTTCAGGCGTGCCGTCGTCTTTGGACAACACCCAATGACTCAGGTACAGGGAGAACACGGCGCCATACCCGCAAAAGGTCAAGACAAGCACTATCGGGCGGAACGACGACGTAAAGAGCAGAAAGATCACGCCGACGGCCGTGATGGCAAGGATGGGCACGTTCAAATCAACCTTCTTCGCATACGCGGACGTGTGGTTGCGTGCATTGTCAAAGCCAAAGTCAACATCCGCATGCTGCTCATGCTGGTTGGGCAGCCCACCGTATTGCATCTTAGTCCGACTCGACCCCAAAATCAAATGCCAAAACGTTCTTGGCGACGTCAGAACCTTTACAAATGAATATTGTGTTTCCTATTGATTTCAAAGGGATCCTTGAAATCATGTTGGGCTTTGTATACGTGGGTCCACGTGGCATCTTCGGTCAACCGGATATTAACCGGACGCATCCGGAGCACCCTCCCAAGTTCAAGCTTCCACGTGGCACGTCAGAATGTAGCCTATCAAAACCGCCTTGTATTTTGGTAAAGAGCCTGTTCCAAGTACAGTGTACTACGAAGTAAATACACTGTAACGAAATAGGCAACAGCCAATCAAAACACCCCCAACGTTTTCCAAAATGGGGTGCATGACCATTTATATTGATCCTACGCACTCAACGCAACTCTGATGTTGGATATTGAGTGCCGACATGAACACAGATAACCACAGTGGGGGAGCCCAGTCACCAGCTCATACGTGTACGCGACTGGCGTTGCTGAAGTAGTAGTGACTAGAGATCAGACGGTCGACCCCGCTGGGTATTAAGCGCAACGACGGACCTTGAACCAGTCAGTCCCTGTAACCTGGGAACTCCAAGACCCCTTGCGTTTATTTGGTATTAATAGTAAGTAATACTTACTGTACTACCGGTACCGGTACTGTACATGCAATGCGCTAATTTGCATCCTGTGGACAACTAAATATCACTAGCCAATCAGATGCACTTAATCCCTAGCTGAAATTGTTTTGGGCTAGGCATTTGACTACTACTATTAAAAGTGAAAGCCCTTGGTGCAATACTATGTTGACCAATCACTTTGCACATTCTGGGCATAATTTATGTCCAATCAATCATGCCGTAAAACGGCAACAAAATGGGAAGAAGTATTGTGGATTCGGTAAGGTAAAAATCAATTTAAGACACATCTGTGAAAGGAGGTTCCGGAGAATTTCCAAATCTCCACACTCAGGCAACTTTTTCAACCTCCGAAACTTGGAGATTATAGCTGAAATAATGCTTTACAGAGACACATACCAATTATATTGTGTTTTGAAGTCGTATTGCATGAGAAAAACACCAAAAACTAAGCAAATTTGATACAATTTTGAGAATCAATTTAAGCACAGACACATGTTGTTATCTTGATCAAAGTATCAATCATTATTTGCTTACAAATTTTGTTTTATTTGCAAAGGTTTGCTTCAATTAGTTTTGCGCCGTTTGATTGGTTCTTGAACATAGATCTTAAATTGAGTGATTTTTTACGTTATTGTGGATTCGATACGAATTTCGAGACCCCCGTCGAATCGAATCTCGCCGCCGAATCGAATCACGAATCGACGCTATTGGCTAATCCAATTTTGAGTGGATTTGATTGGCTCTTGCAGAAGTATATTCAACTAATCAGAACTCCGGAATGATTCAATATTGATTCAACAAACAAGGCGAATTTTGGCTTATTTCCAGCTGCTAATCCAATTTTGAGTGGATTTGATTGGTCCTTTCAGAAAGGACAAGCAAATTCAACCAATCAGAACTCCAGCTTGATTCAGTACTATTAATAGTATGGTATTGATTAGACAATCCACGCGAATTTGGGAAGTTTACAGTGAAATCACAATTTTTGATCACCCCAGTATTCGAATTCTACGTTCTAACGTTAACGTTATTGCTAAAATGCGAATCAACCATGCTAAATATACATTGTGAAACCACTGACTTTGCACCAAGCAAGTGCAGTACAGTAGCAGCGCAGTCGTGCCTTCGATACCAGTTTCTTACTATGGATGAAGGAGGGGAAGATCGAGGAGAGGAGCATGGAGAGGAGCATGGAGAGGAGCGAGTGGAAGACCTGCCTCCAGAGAAGAAGGATGAAGTGAAGAGTATTCCCGCATTGCGAGCCCAGCTCGACGATGGTACATACGTCGACACTTCGCCTTGTTTGACTAAACTCTGTCTGTACGTAGTGCAGGCTAGATACCGCCACAAAGAGCCGGAGCTACTGAATGAACTGAACAACACGTACGACTACATGGTCAAGAACTTGGACCCGATCATGTCGGAAGCACTCGAAGACCTGATGCTCCATCGCCCCGAGCAAGTCGCGGCCTACCTGGCATTCTACATGGCTGGTACTGTCGACGTCTCCAAATACAAGAAAACTGTACGTCCAACTCTCGTCTATACAATCGACTACACTCTTACGTATCATGTTAGCAATTGCAACCGCAAGCGTACTTTGAGCGCAAAGTCCAGCCAGCGTTGGGATTGGCCGTGGATTCTGTCATTCGAGACAAGCCCGACGACGTCAAGGCGTACTTGATGACGTTTTTTGACCAACGGGCCAACATTTATTAGCAATAACATTGCAAGAATACGGGTAGTTACAATTAACGATCTCTGGCGTTGCCACGTCATCGAGGTAAAAGTAAGAATGATGGTCGTTTGAGAGAGCCAATGGTAGGCTGATATCCGGATATCATCATCCGGATACACAGAGTGGTGGAAAGCACTGGCGAGAAACCCAGACGCGGCAAACGAGGAAGGATGGCACCAAAGCAACAAGCGTCCAAGAAGACCGTCCAGAAGGCCAAGGAAAAGGCCGTGGAGGACAAGACGTTCGGCCTGAAGAACAAGAACAAGAGTAAAAACGTACAGAACTACATCAAGACGGTGGCGCACCAGGTCAAAGGCACGAGCGAGCGCGAGGAGCGCAAGAAGCTTGATGAGAAGAAGGCGGCGTTGGCGGCCAAACAGGCCATGGAGAAGCAAATGAACGATCTTTTCATGTCTGCGATTATCCAGCCCAGGGTATTCAACTACTACAACGTCCATTGTCCATGATGGATCTAACTCGATCCGCGCTTTAGGTGCCCCTTGGCGTCGACCCCAAGACCATCGTATGCGAGTTCTTCAAACAAGCGACGTGTTCCAAGGGCAACCGATGCAAATTCTCCCACGATCTCATGGTGGGCAAGAAGGCGATCAAGATCAACCTGTACGAGGACGATCGAAAAGAAGGTACCAACCATATCCCATCGTCGCCATGTCGTTCTTCACGTGCATGTTCCTTTACAGACAAGATCGAAGACTGGGATCAAAAGAAACTCGAAGACGTGATCACGGAAAAGCACGGCCAAAAGGTGGCCACGCAGACGGACATTGTGTGCAAGTACTTTCTGGACGCGATCGAAAAGTCCCAGTACGGGTGGTTCTGGAGCTGTCCGAACGGCGGCAAAGCGTGCAAGTACCGCCACGCGCTGCCGCCGGGATTTGTATTCCAGACCAAGGCCGAGCGGGACTTGGCCAAGGGCAAGAAGGTGGACGACGTCAGCATCGAAGAGATCATCGAGCAGCAGCGCGCCAAACTCGGCGCCGGCGGCGGCACTCCCGTCACCGAGGCATCGTTTGCCCAGTGGAAAGTGGAAAAACTCGCGCGCAAGGCTGCCGACGACGAGAAGCGCCGGAAAGAAGAGGCCAAGAAGACGGGCGGCCGCAGCATTCTCAGTGGACGCGCGTTGTTCTCGTACGACCCGACGCTCTTCCGAGATGATGACGATGCCGCCGAAGACGAGTACAACGTCCGAAACAGCGACGACGAAGAGGATGAGGATAAGCCCGCGTTTCGAGGAGGGGTCGACGCGGCCGCGGCCCACATGGACAAGTCGTTGTACCTTCAAGACGAGGATAACTTAGACGAACTCATGGACGAAGAGTAGAGTGACAGATGAAGCATCAAGTAGGTGGAGGCGGCAGCATGGATCGAAAAGATTTAATGGGTTCATGCATGTGGTGTTGCAGTGGTCAAGATATACTACTAGTAATATTAGTGCCGGTGGTTGTTGGACTGTATTTAAAATGCCATGGCTCATTTTGAGGGAGATATTTTAAATGGTTTTAAAAGGCACCGGCCTTTATTGATAATAGTACTACTACTAGTAGTACTATGGATGTAAAAACTGGTACTTTTATCCGGATACGAGACGCCCGTCTTTCGAAATAAAGTCACCGCGATACAACAACTTCCACGCGGCACCATGTCGTCGTCATCGATTGGGAACACGGCCATCAAGCGCATCCGAGCGGTAGGTTCACGAGGCCCTCATGGAGGTTCTATAGATGATGAGTGTGGAATAGGATGTGCGTGAGATGATGACGGATCCCAGTGATCAGTACTTTGCCGCGCCATTGGAGGTACGAATCAACGACGCGATGTCATCAGCAAGTCATCACGTACCCTGACGTAGGACAACATGTTTGACTGGCACTTCACGATTCGCGGTCCGCGGGACACGGAGTTTGCCGGCGGTGTGTACCATGGGCGTATTCTCCTGCCATCGGACTACCCGTTCAAGCCTCCCAACATCATCCTACTTACGGTACGCACTCTAGCAAATCATGCAGCATGGCTCAACGATGTGAAGCCGAACGGTCGGTTTGAGGTAAAGAAGAAGATCTGCTTGAGCATATCTGCGTATCATCCCGAGCATTGGCAGCCAGCATGGGGCGGTATGTCCCCGTTTCATCTATCCCCTTTCAGCTAACGCATCATGGCAGTTCGGTTGATCCTCGAAGCCTTGATCAGTTTCATGCCCACGAAAGGCGAAGGCGCGATTGGAGCGTTGGATTTTACCCCCGACGAGCGCAAAGCCCTAGCGTTGGAGGTAACCTGGCCAGGTCAAGCTTTCCGTGACAACTCCCTTTAGTCGGTCCGATGGACATGTCCGCAATGCGGCGACATCAACGCCCTCATCCCGGAAGAACGTGAGACGGAGACTGCGACAGAGTCCAAATACGCATCTCAGATCGCCCAACTGCACATTCACAACATGGAGACCCCCGACGTCCAACCAGACCACGACGCGGATGCTTCTTCGGAACCAACTGCCGCCCCAGCTCCAGCCGATTCGAATCCCCCTTCCGCCATCCCGTCATTGGCCCCGCCTCCATTGGCCGAAGTTCCCGCCGACACGAATGATCTCCCTGTCCCAGTACCACCCCTCCATCAACCAGCGCCGGCCCCCGTCGTCCATCGACCCCCGACTCCTCCCACGGCGGTGGCGCGACGTCAACCCGATTTTGTCGACAGTGTCCTCCAAGGCATCTCCACAGCCCTCCTCTTGGCCCTTATCGCCCTCGTCTACAAGAAGCTGCTTCATCTCAACGGCAACATGATTGCCGATTAGTATTGTAGATGATTCGATACGAATTTCCAACCTCGTCGAATAATCGAATCACGAATCGACGCGATTGGCTAATCTATTTTGAGCGGATTTGATTGGCTCTTACAGAAAGAACAAGACTATATTCAACCAATCAAAACTCCACCATTGGTTGATTACCATAGTACTACTACGTAGTAGTATTGATTACACAAACCAAGTGAATAGCAAATTCACAATACCTCGTCCTACCACTACTCTTGATCTCGATGTCATGGGATTCGAGGAGGATGCAAGCCAATCCCTCTGCTGATACTTTGTGAAGTAATATAATACAACCAATACAACCCCCTCATATGTCCAACGTATATTCAAACAACAGGTATGCCTCGTAGTATCCCAACAACTGACTTGGGCTCAGGGGGTGAACGCTTCCACGATGGGCACCGCCGCCGACGGCTTGGCTTCGTCTTGCTTGGCCAGGCTCGGCTGGTTGGCCGCCCACGTGTCAAATGTCATAGGACGGTGGTTCTCCATGGCGAGAATCCACTGCATGGACGGCTTGCTGCGGCGGCGGCGGCCGCGCCCCCCGGCTTCGTCCGCCGCCTCGTCGTCCGTCATGTTGTGGCGACACCAGTACGCGTAGTCAACAAAGTGAAACGCCGACCACCACGCGTCCCCCACGTCGCCGAGCGCGGCGAGTGCGTGCGCCATGGTCGTGTCCACGGCGGGGGGGTTCTCGTCAATGCCGAGTTTCTCGCACATGTCGTGGAGCGTCAGCTCGTCCCCGTGGAGTAGGTACAGGCGGCTCGCGTGCAGCGGAAACCACGTGCACATGCAGCGGAGGGCATGCGCGGCATCGTCGGCGGCGATCAGCCCCAGGCGGCACGAGTCAGGCACAAAGTTGAGCCGCTCGTTTCGAGCCAACACGCGCTTCTTGTAGTCCAGCGCCACCTCCATAAGCATAGGGATGCGCAGGATACACACGCGAAGGCCGCTGCGACGCACTTCGTTCTCGATGTGGAGCAGCGGCTGGAACGGCGAGTCCCACTCAGCGCTGCCGGCAAACTCGGTGCTGAGCAGGACGAAGCCCATCACCTTGGCCGCTTTCGCGCCCCGCAAGAGCGACGGCAGGATCGTGCCCGGTGTTGACCGCGACGGCAAGTACAGCACCACGTCCATGTTTTTGAGCATCTTGCGCACTTCGTTGGGGCGTTGGAGGCGGCCGTGCACCCACACCACACCCGGGATGGGCCGCGCGGCTTCGGGCATGATGCCCAGCACGTTGTCGCAGCCGTGCACCGTCAGATTCGGCAACATGGCCAACATCCCCGCGACGCGCGCCCCGAGGAGGTCGTTCAATCCCACGACAAATACCTTGGTGGGGAATTTGCCCACGTAGAACCGATCCGGCGTGAACCACTGCTGGGGGGGCGTCGGGGGGCGCCCCACGAGCGTCTCAAAGTGGCACTGGTCGCTCGACACCACCCCTAGCTTCTCGCACACGGTCGCATCGGCCCGCCCCCCCATCGGCGACATGGTCAAGGGGGAAGCGAGGGCAGTCCACCAAGTGGGCAGGTTGAGCGCCGACCAGCTGGCAATCCATGTGGGCGTGTCCACTTGACGGTACACGATGAGGCTGTTCATGGCTGCGGCCAGCGACGACGCCATGCCGGTGGGGGAGAGCGTCGAGTGCGCGTGCGCGACGTTCATCGTCATGCCGGCGTACGTGTCGGCTTGGAGGAGGGGCTGGATCAGCGCCTCGGCCGCCTCCGACAGGCGCAGCACCGGCAGCTGCGTGGCTGGCGCGAGGCCCGCGACCAGTTGGTGCGCGAGGCGAATGTGGATCTGGTGCATGTCGAGGAAGTCCAGGAGAAACGGCAGCCGAAGCACTGTCCACGAGGACGTGTGCGGACGCAGCGACGTCAAGTGCGTCTCGAGGTCGTGCAGCGGGTTCGACTCGTTCGCGCCAGCCCACACCCATGACTGAAACACAATGTGTGGCACGCAAATGTCGTGCGCCGTCGTGAGCAGGTCCCGTGTCACAGATAACGAAATAGTCGACGCTGTCGTGACAAACACCGCGTGCACCCCCGAGAGGAACCGGCGGGGGTTGGCCGGGTCGAATGGCTTCACCTCGACACGCGAGAGGCGGTTGAGCGCGCGGATGCTCGCGTCGTCCGGGTCTGCGTGCATGGGCACCCCCGCTACGATGACCACGTGCTTGAACGATTGCAATTGGAGCGCCCGCACCACCGCGGCGCCCACGAGGCTGGTCGCGTCCGGCACGGCGACGACGCGGTGCCCGAGCAGTTTGCGCAGTGCGATGCAACCCATGGACGAGTGAATGAACGATCGAATGCAAGATCAAAAGTGATTCTGCCGTTGGAACCGTTTTGGATATAACCTGGGACACGACGACACCCCACGAGGACAGCGTTCTCACTTAACGGGAACATCGTCGACTACTTGAGGTAGTTGATGCAGTACGTGCGATGTTCTACATGAGATGCGGCCGTCGCCATCAGCGGCATGTTGCTACCTAGACTAACGGTAGGGGTGTAGCAGAAACCATCCTGCTGTCCATGTTATATATCCTTGGTGAGCCTTATGACGTTGAGACGAAGCCTCGTAGCCCAACCAGCGATGGCTTTATGCGCAGGACAAGTCGAGGTTGTGGCGGCAGACGACGATGTTCAAGCGTCAGGTTGCTTTGTCCACCTGTCTGGGCTGACACATGCTGTGAACTTCAATATGGGTGGAAATGTCCTTGCTATCACGAATCAAAACGTGGGGATTCGGAAAAAAGGACTGAATTTAATCCAATCATACGTCGTTTTGAAATAACATGGATGGACTTCATGTTGGCTCTCATATCGTAATTTGCACCAACATGCAAGCTAGCGCCGTTGCCCGCCGTGTCCTCCGTCCTTTCCTGCGCAAGACGTCCGCCAATGCCGCCGCCCGCGCTATGAGCTCCAAGGTGCCGACGCACCTGCCCTTGTCGTTCTTGTCGGAAGAGGAACTCATGTTTCAAGACGCGGCAACGAAATTTGCGCAGGATGTGTGCCTGCCCAAAGTTAGCAAGATGGACGCCGACGGCGAAATGGACAAGGAAATCACCCAAGGCATGTTTGACAACGGCGTACGTGATATGTCATCCTCTTCGTCGGTCGCGGAATGTAGTATCTCATGACACATGTAGTTCTTCGGGATTGAAATCCCGGAAGAGTACGGCGGGTCGGGCGCGTCCTTCATGAATGTATGCTTGACGATTGAAGCTCTGAGTCGCGTGGATCCCGTCGTGGGTCTCCTCTGTGACTTGCAGAACACGGTCGTGAACAACGTGTTCGTGGTACCGTCAACCCATCACTTGTCACGTGCACACAAGTGTGTCCATGCATTCATGTCCATCGACGATTCTTTGCTTTTTGCATGTAGAACTACGGCACGCCCGAACAAAAGCAAGAGTACTTGCCGCGCTTGGCCACGGAAATGGTACTCCTCCACCACCTACCTCCGTCTACATCTCTCAACATGGGTGCCTGCATTAGATTGGAAGCTTTTGCTTGTCCGAGGCCGGGTCGGGCAGCGACGCGTTTGCACTCAAAACCCGCGCCGACCTGTCCGCGGATGGCAGCTACTACACGTTGAACGGCCAAAAGATGTGGATCTCCAACTCCGAGTACGCTGGCGTATTTCTCGTCTTTGCCAACATCGACATGGCCAAGGGGTACAAGGGCATCACGTGCTTCATCGTGGACCGCGACACGGAAGGGCTCGAGATCGGCAAGCCCGAAGACAAGCTCGGCATCCGCGCGTCGTCCACGTGCCCTGTGTACCTGACCAACGTCAAGGTCCCCGCAGACAAAATCCTCGGCGAAGTATGTCGGCCCCTTCCCCTCCATGTATCCTCTCGGGCGTGACCTACTTTTGTCCTTTTACCCAAAATTTGGCTGACTTTTGTGCTAATTCGCCAAATCTATTCTTTGTCCAGCTAGTATCACACTAATTTCAGTCACATTCACGAATCATTCGATGTTGACTTGGTCGACGAGTGGATCATTTGATTGGCTACTTGATTCGTGTTGTGGGTTTTGATTGGTCACTTGATTCGTGTTGTGGGTTTTGATTGGTCGATCGATTGTCTGATTCGATTAACCACCCAAATACCACTCCAATTTCGAATCGACTGAACAATATATATATATATATATTATGTACATCCATCGTTTGTAGTGGTATATTATTATTCTCATTTCATGTGGTTCTTTATGTTTTAAATATGTGTTCGTTTGAGTCAACGGGTGGTCGAATACTATATATATTTAAAAGGTCAGAGATGTACACTATATTCCACATTCTATTGTCGTCACGACTATACTCGTATGATGATATCATATATATACATGTATATATATATTCACTTACTAATCGTGTATTTCTTTCGAGTAGGCGGGCAAAGGATACAAGATTGCGATTTCGACACTGAACGAAGGACGTATTGGAATTGCATCTCAGATGCTTGGCCTCGCCCAGGGCGTGCTGGATCAGACCGTGCCCTACTTGTACGAGCGCAAGCAGTTTGGCGTGCATATTGGCGACTTCCAGGCGATGCAGCACCAGCAGGCCGAGATCGCTCTGGATATCGAGACCGCGAGGCTGTTGGTGTACAACGCGGCGCGGCTTAAGGACGTGGGCGAGCCGTTCGTGAAGAACGCGGCCATGGCCAAGCTGCATGCATCGCGCGTGGCGGAGCGGTCGGCGTCCAAGTGCATCGAGCTTCTTGGCGGCGTCGGGTTTACCAAGACTCTGCACGTGGAGAAAATGTGGCGCGACTCCAAGATTGGCGCCATCTACGAAGGCACAAGCAACATGCAGCTCACGACTATTGCCAAGATTCTCAAGGACGAGTACAAGGCATAGATAGGTAGCTAAGGCAACCAACAACCCACCCAAGGAGCATCACAAGTATATAGAACCATACTTAGTCCTATATAGAACCATACTTAGTCCTATATAGAACCATACTTAGTCCTATATAGAACCATACTTAGTCCTTTTCCCGGAAACACAAGACACACGCACAGAATCTCATGTTGTTGAATGATGCCCCAGACGAACGAAATGCATCATACTTTTCAAGTGTACTGTATCGAAAGTCTTATCGTTTTCCCCAAAATTTCGACTTTAACGTACTGTCTTGGCCAAATCTATCGATCGATACTTTGGAAGTATTGTCGTTTTACCCAAAATTTGGTTGCCTTTTGGGAAATCTATAGATCGATACTTTGTATTATTGTCCTTTTACCCAAAATTTGGCTGACTTGTGTGCTGAAAATCGCCAAATCTATCGATCGATTCATTGTGAATGAACCTGTGGGGATTGAAATCACACTAAATGAATTCACACACTATTTAAACGTTGACGATGGTTTCCTGTAATCTGATTGGCTCAATTCTTCTGCCCATGTATTTGGTTGTGTCGATTCATTCTCCATGTCACTCCAGTTTAGAAAAAACAAAACAATATTGACTTTTGTATATCAAGATCATCCAGTATTACTCTCTAATTCACACACTTCATTCAATGATGAAGTGGGCGTGATTTGATTGGCCACTTGATTCGTGATCTGTGTTTTGATTGGTCGATGTATCATCGATACACGTGAGCCAAACGTTTTAAACTGTGGTATCTCGTTTTAAACACAATTTCACCCCCTTACCTTGCAAATATACTTTGTTTGAAACGTTTGAAACTCAATCTTCCGGCCTTGGTAGGCTTCTGCTCAGTCGACCCCCAACTATCGTACTCCAAGTTCGAATCGACTTGGTAATAGTACTTAAGTAGCAGCATCCATCCCGCCATACCAGATACAATGAAGATTTGGACGTCAACAAAGATAAAGTAACCGATATGTGCGATGATGTTACAGAGGAGACGGGGCGTGAGGGGTGGAGGGGGCGAGGAGGACGAGGCTGCGGACGACAGTGCCGACGATCGTGTCGACGGACGCCAGCGCGCCGTTCCCTATGGACGTGCATGTTTAATAATGGAGAATACAGAGAAGGAGCGTACCGACTTCGCCGCAAGCCAGTGTCTTGGACACGGGACTGACGATACTGTACCCAAACGACCGCAGCAGGTGCAAGTGGGACTCTGTCGCAGGATGCGCATACATTTGGGTGTTCATGGCTGGAGCTACGATTAGTGGCTTAGCTGTACTCCACGCCCGCGCCACACAAGTCTAGGAAGTTGGCGTCGTGAGGCCAATGGGAGATGCTGGAGTTCAAACCACGAGGTTATCGCAGAGGCCGCCGGCGAGTTTGGCCATGGTGTTGGCCGACAGCGGGGCGATGCACATGACGTCCGCCCAATCACGCAACTATGTACGAAGGATGGACGAGGTTGAGGAGTGCATGGAACGAGAGATGGACGAAGATTGGTTACGTGGATGTGAAGGACGGGGTCGCCGAGGCTGGACCAGGCATTCCATTCGTCGTCGTCGCGAAGGATCGGAAGAGAGAGCGCGATGAATGCGGCATGTGCCTCGGGATCGTATGTCGCGGCCTTGTCAAGGAAGAATTGGGCGGCTTTGGTCACGACGACGCGGACGTCGGCGACGGCGGCGAGTTGGACTGCCAACGCAGGCACTTTCACCGTCGCGACGGAACCCGAGGCTGCGAGAAGCACGCGAGGACGCCGGGGTTGATCGGTGGATGATGATGTGTTGTCGTCTGTGAGCACGTGGTGGGCGTGCAGCAGGGGCTGGACGTCGATCTGTGTGGGCTCCGGCGACGACACAGCCGGGGCGGAGGATGACGACGATGACGACGACGCGCCGTCGGATTTGATGTCCACCGAAAGGGTGTCGTGGCGGCGTGGAGTCTTTTTGCGCTTGTGCGGCGCTGCCACGGGTGTTGCCGACCACGGCTGTTCGTGCTTGGCTGTGATCAGGTCCTTCTCCTTGAGCATCTTCGTCACTGCAGGCCTGGACACGCCAAACTCCTTGGATGCCGCGAGATGCGACATACCTCCTTCCACGCATGCAATGATGCGCACCTTCTCTTCAATCGACTTGTGGATGCGCTGCTTGGGGGCCATGCTGAAGCACGCGATGACTAATGTGTCGCGCCGTTGAAATATTATGAATTTTGTTTTAAAATACATCCAACCCGTTGAAAGTATATATGGATAATGTTTATAATATTCGAACTAACATACTTGATTTAAGTCTAATGGATTAAAATACACGACTACTATGTATAGTATTGTTTTACGAAAATATTATTTTTCGGCATGTATTATTTGTACCAGTATCGGAGCCGCCCGATTTCAAACCAATAAAATGCATCGCCCTGGCACCAAACCCCGCGTGATGAAGAAGGCGACGTCCAACGCGTTCAAGTTGAACACGTCGACAGCCTCTTCGGCTCCATCGGCATCACCAGGAAGCAGTAGCACCAGCGACGCACGCTCCAGCAATGCCACGTCCAAACCAGCAGCATCAGGCTCATCTGCCACGGACTCGTTCTTATCCGCGCTTGCAACTGCCAGCACCGTTGCGGCGGCAACGTTGGCGAATGTTCTTCCAGACGTGCATGTGAATCTGTTCTGTCTGTGCGAAACCAGCGGGGACCTCGTGTTCGTAGGTGCCAAGGGTCGCTTGTGCCACATTAACATCCACGCGTCCAAGCCGAGTCTGCACGACCTCACACCGACGAAATCCTCAGACAAAGTGAACGTCCACGTCCTCTCGTCCGCGTCCCACCTCGCGTTCAATTCCCGCGGGACCAAGGTCCTCGTGCAGACGAACGAAGGTGCTTTGTACGTGTTCAACCTGCCCCTCAGCGCGCACCATCGTCTCACGCCGACGCCGCAGCTCGTCCAAGTCGTGTTTGCCGACGGCAGCCGCCGCGTGGTCAAGCTAGACGACGTACCTTCGCCCGACACGACGTCCGTCCAGCGCGCGCTCGCGACTCTCTCGCCATCCGACCGCGCCAAGGTCAAGACCGTCGTGCCGGACGTGTTTGAGGTCGACTTGCGTCGGCTCCTTCTCCTCCCCACCGTCACAGCGGTGTCCGCTACGTGGCACCCGCTGAGCGACTCCCACGTCGTCCTCTTGACGTCCACGGACGACTTGCTCGTGTACGCGACCGACGACAGCACGTTCAGCCCCGAGCAAACCCACCCGCTGTCGTTCGCCCCTCCCTCGTCCAGCGTGGGTGCTTCTGCGACAACGTCGCTAAGCTTTGGCCCTGTCACAGGATGGGAAGCCCTGACAGTGTACATCCTCCGATCGAATGGCGACCTCTTCGCACTGAGCCCCATCCTGCCCCACGACGGCGCGTCCGTGCCCGCGTCCCTGCTCCGCTTTCTCCATCAAGCTACGGATGGCCAGCTCACGCTCGCCAACGTCGACTTGGACACGCGCATCCACGTCAAAGCCCAAAAGCACTGGCTCGCCACTGTCTGGCCCGCCGACCTGCCGCCGCCAACCGTCGACGAAGATGAGGACATCACTTCTCCATTGTCGGCTCCAACCAACGCATGGACGCGCTCGAGCACCTCCGCCGACGCCGTCGCGACCCTCCACTGGCCCGTCCAACTGCAAGGCCCGTTCCCGTACGGATCGGCAACATGGTCCCATCCAAACAGCAAAGCGCACAGTGTGGCGGCGGTCGCGTACCCCGGGGCATCCCCCAACAACCTCGGCCGTGCCCCGGTCCTCGCCATCGGGTGGTCCAGTGGCCACGTTACGATCGTACGTGGATATACTCGTTGTGCACTTGTATTCGTGTGCTAACGGGTATCGTGTGCCGCCCTATGGCTGTCGAGTGGCTGAATTGACGAATATTGACACACGATTCAAAGTATTGTGTTTCTTTTTTTACTTTTAATTTGGTTGACTTTTGTGCTAATTATTTGCCAAATCTGCGAAACGATCGATTCTTTGACTTTTGTATGTACAAAAAGATAGATTGGATTTGATTGGCTACTTGATTCGTGTTGTGGGTTTTGATTGGTCGATGATCATCGATGTCTGCCACTGTTTGGTGCTGCTGCTCATTCGATTGAGAGCACCCCCCTACTATAGTACTCCAATTTCGAATCGGCAATAGGCACACTCGAATCTCTCCCTACTAGTAGTAGTACTACTAGTACAACTAGTATTACTACAACTACTCTTGTAGGTGGTCATGGAACGACCAGTGCAGCCGCGATGGCAGCTCAAGAAGCCCAAGCCCCAACAGTCGTCTAGCTCCCCCCCCCCGCCGTCGGTCTACCTCGTCGAGTGCATCAACATTGGCGCCACCTGTGACAACGGCAAACTGCACTTGGCTACGCATCCCCTCAACGCCCAAGTCGTGTACGCCCTCCATTCTACGGGGGTGCATGTGCTGCACCTGCCCTACGTCACAGCTCCTCTGGCGCCGCCCCCATTTACAGCGTCCGTCCACCGCGTGCTATCGCTCGCGCCATCCGCGACCGCGCTGGTCACGGGCGCCGCGGTCATCTACTCGGTCGAGCGGGGCCATGTACTGGTTGTGTTATATGCCAGTGGCCAGTGGGAACTCGTGAATGTGTCGGCCAAGACAGCCAGCTGCTGCTCCTCGTCCTCCATCGTTCGTGCCCCAGCACCATCTTCTTCGTTCACAGCAACGACACCGGTGGTTACCCCGCTAGCCCAGCTTGTGGACGAGTTGCAGGAGAAGTTTGTAAGCCACAAGATCCACGTCCAAGGCGGATCTACCTCTCTACCCGACACAACCATCGACACGTTCCATTTCGCCCAAAACCATATTCCAGCACTCCTCGACCAAGCCGCGTACGTTGAAGCGATCGGCGCCGCGACTCGCAGCCGGATCGAGCTGCACCGCGAATGGAAGGACCAGCAGACGACAGACGCCGCCACCCTCGACGGGGCCCTCGGCGCATCCGCATCCGCCTTTGCCGACCTTCTCACCCGCGTCCAAGCTCTCCAAGCCAAGCAAAGCCAACTCAACGACCGCGCCGCCGCTGTCCTGCAGGCCGTCAAGGAGAACCAGACGGTGCTGTCCAAAGCTGAGATACAGTACAAGCAGGAACTCCAAGAGATGGCCCACGCCGCCAGACGCCTCGTGCCGAAAGTGACCCAAGTGAAACTGGATGCGCAAAAGTTGCTGCGAAACGCACTAGTCGACATATCACCACCAACCACAGCGTCTAGCTTGTCCCCCGACCGAGCGCGGATCTGCCACGACGTCCTCACGGCAGAAGCCCAGCTGATTGCAGACACCACCGCGCGACTGCACGAACTCACGTCCCTCGTCGCCTCATCGCTGCATCTCTAAACCCTACAATACAGCGACAAATATAATAGTTATACATATATATATATATATATATGTATAACTATTATATGTATATATGCAAACGATATTGTGATTTCGCTATAAATTTGCGTGGGTTAGCGAATCACCCATTGACAATCACGCGGCGTTCTGATTGGTTGAATATACTAGTGAGTAAGAGCCAATCAAATCCACTCAAAACTGGATTTGCCAATAACGTTGCAGAGAGCGACGGAATTTTAGAAGCATCGAAGTTTCAATCATATGGATGCGGCCTTTGTCCAATTAAAAACAGATAGTCGATATAAGGACATTATAAGCAGTTTTGATTGGCCATAACACTAATTCTCGTTAAACTTCACCGAATTTCGAAGAATCTTGTTCAATCATATACAATCAATTTCGTAAATAAGTCTTAACATTCCGTCGTCGTCTGTAGTGTCGATTCGTGATTCTTTCAATTCGGAAATTCGGGGTCTGTACCGAATCCACACAATAAATACATGATGCATGTGACACTGCGTTGGTGGAGCTCAACATCACGACGTCAGCACACACGTTGTGTAGATCTGTCACTACTGTTAGGACTACTTTGTTTACTACGGCGTTGTCCCATACATATTGTAGATACATTAAGGATGAACATTTTGCCATCAACCGTTTTGGCAAAAATTCCCAAACTCTACAAAAGAAGTAAACAAAAGTTGTGTGGAAGCAGCCAGTTGAATTAAATTACTATTCGATTTCCGATTGACAGTGCAAGACTTCAACACCTCACACTCGATACTCAAGAAAATTGTAATATCATCCAAATCTCGAATAAATCTCGGAATATTTCGATTTTGGCCACTTTTCTTGGAAAAACGGCCATTTTATACCAATTTTGGGTAGTATCCACACCCAGCCTCACGAATAATACCACGAGTACACGACTTATGTCAACTCCTGAGTACTAGTAGTAGTAGTACTATTAGTAGTACTATTAATAGTGGTGACAGCAGTGTCTCCGATACATTCTTTTTCACTACTACAGTTACCTAGTACCACTGGTCGTTTTCATCTCCTACAACCGCCGCGTATCCTTCGCAGTTCGCGCGACCACGAGGTGATGCATGTCCACGAGGTCATCTACACATAGTGATGTGGATACATTTTGTATGTTAAATCTTTTGGTTGTTACCTAGGCGGAGAAGGCGGTATCGCGTGAGAAACATGGTGTGGCAGAGGCAACTGCACTGGTCACAGCCTTCGCACACGGAGCACGGCGTCCGCCCCGGACACTCGCACACGGCCACCACGTCACTCCGCTCCTTGTATGCCTGCGACCGCGGCAAACTGCCCGTGTGTCCGGCACTCGACCGGATGCCAGCGCGGGGGTCGAACCGACTCGGGGCGCGGCTGCAGTCGACGCACACGACAAATGGCGGCGCCACGTCATACACTGTGCACCCAAGACACTGCTTGAACGTGTTGGACAGTTCGTTCCTATACAACCACCCATCCCCGGCATTAGAATGAACCATATCACAGAACAATCCAGTGTGAGAATCACTGGATAAGTATCACCAATAGCATCTGATGATTGAGCCAATCAGATTGCAGGAAACAACCGTCAAAGTAGTGTATGCCTTTAATTAGTGTGCTTACGAATCACCACACCTTTTTACAAAGAATAATAGTAATTTTGGCGATATTTATGACAAATGGTCAACCAAATTTTGGGGAAAAACAATATCAACGTACGAGCAGAGGCGGCAGCGACTCAAGTGCGGCGGCAGCGTCCGGTTCGGCCCCGCGTGGTGACGCGCCGGAAGCGGGTGCTGCGCGCCGAGGAACCATCCGTCGTCCCCGTCGTCATGCACGGCCTGGTCCTCATCGACGAGCCGCTCCAGCACCGGCAGCACCGCGCGCAAGTGGGGCACGCATGCGCCAGTGTCCAAGGTGGTGAGAGCCAACCACTGGCGGATGGCCTCCAAGAAGCAGTTGCGGGGGTTGAATATGTATTGCAACGGTGATGGGGCAACGGAGGACGGCTGATGGGCCACGGCAGTGTCGAGTAAAAACTATAAGTGAGAGAGAGGTAGTAAGTAGTAGTACTAGTAGTAGGAGTAAGACAGGTAGTACATATGTACCTTGGCCGAGTCGTGGATGCCTTGCGGAGTCACGCCTTGAAATGTCCATTCCCACGTAATGTACACGAGCATGGGGTACGCGCCGCCCACGCTGCGCCACAGGTGCAGTCGACCCTACCGATTTGATGACGTTATCGTTTGATTACGTCATCATCAACGTGTAGGTTTGTACCTTGTGCACATGCGCATACTCGCCTGCTCGGACTTGCACCACGGACGACTTGTACCCAAATTTACTATGACGCCAATACATCAAAACCCAACAAATCTGCGACAGCGTTGGCAAACCATATCGTACTTGAGATTGTGCAGGTACTTGTCGACGAGGTCGGCGCGGGTGCCTGGGAGGTACCCCATCCGCCGGAGAAAGTCCAGTACGCGACTGCGCTGCTTGGCCGTGAGTGGATCGAACACGACGAGCTCCATTTCACCGAGGACCACCTATTGATTTATATATAAATATATATATATATATTGATATGAACGGTAGTAGTTGGTACTTGGTATGCAGTGTCGGTGGAGCCATTGCCAGAGTAAATCAACTCGGAGCGCTGGCCCGACGGGCGACACATGTGCAGTTTTGGCTCAAATCGGTGCATGTCTTGGTACTGCGATGGCATGTACTGCATCCAGCAATGCGCTCCCCCGGCAAAGACATCCCATCCAAAATGCGTTTTGAGGTTGGCATGTACCTATATATATATTTATATATATATATATATATCAGGAGGAGGATAGTTGGTAATACCAGAGTCGAATGGAACGCCAACTCCATGTCGTGCAAGGCCAAGCCATCGTCGGGGCCGCCGCCGACCACGACCGGACCATCCGGATATGGCAACTGGACGGGCGATCCGTGCAGAAAGTGCGCGTGGACGGCGCGGAGCGGCACGAGGACGGACCCGACAAACGTCATCACGCCATGGCGGTCGGCTCGGTAGTGGTCGCATTGCACTGGCAGCAGCGGCGGCAGTCTACGCCAACAAGGTGATGAAGGAGTATTCGAACGCAGCAAATTATGTGGCTCCAAAAACGGCAAAAAACAGATCAAAATAGCGAAAATACGGATCAAAACGGAAAAAATACCCAGCTCAAAACTGGAAAAAACATGAAAAATGGTAAAAAACAGTGCAACACGGTGATAAAAACAGATATCAAAACGGCGGAAAAAAACCAGTTGAAAACGGCAAAAGCGGATCAAAACGGGGAAAGAAATGTTTAAAATAGACTAAAAAGTGTACAATTGGCAAAATGGCCGAGGTATCTGTCGTACGAAGTCAAGAGGAACGAGACGGTCCAGTAGGAGGCGTTGAGTCGGGCAGCGAGGCCCTGGACCACCACGACGAACTCGACGTTTTCCAAGCACCTACGCAGCCAAAAGTGTCAACTTGTTCGAAGATGGAACTGACTGTACCCGATGACAGCGGCCGTTTCCGCGGCAGCGAGGGGGGTGCGGAGGTCGATGGCGGGCGTGAGGTCGAGGCGGAGGACGTTGTTGCGGTCGTCGAGGTCTTCGAGGCGGCGGGACCGAAAGCGTTCGATGATGCGGAGGTAGTCAGAAGAAGCCGCGGGTTGCGATGGTGGGGACGGTTCAAAGGCTGGAGGGAGGTCGGACGGACCCGTCGGCGGTTGTTCGGCTGAAGTTGCGCGAAGCGACGACGTGTAATGGACGGGTGGTATGTACAGCGACCGCATGTCCGACGTTGGAGGTGGCGTGGTAATGCTTCGAGGGGGCGGCTGCGCGGAAGGGAAGCTGCAGTTGGCGGATGACGAGATGTCGGACGACGGCGATCGTCGATGCAGCGGAGTGGACTCATGATCGGCGCTGCTGTGAAGGCTATGGGGTTGGCTGACGGCAGAGGAATCTACCAACGATGGCGTCGTGAGAGGAGGGCCATTGTCGATGCCGTTGTTTCCACAGTTGGTGTTGCTATGGCGATCGGCGGGACGACCTGATGGAGGTGGGGCGGCAATGTCTTGCTGCCGCATGGTGGAGTTCTCGGCACGGTGCGTCATGGCCACATCTATATTGGCCATGGCCTTTTGCTGAAGGTCCATGTCGTGAAAGATGTCGATGATGGGAACAAGCACTTCCTTCTGGTTCAAGTCTGCGAACGTGCCGCGGCTGTGCAGCATCTTGAAGCAGGATGGCTGGCATAGCATATGCAGGTCGTTCACTTCGGACGGAAGGAGGTTGGAACCAAGGCTAATTCGCCTCTCCTTGCCGCAGAAGCGGCATTTCACGAGTGGCATCGCGCCCAGAGTCTTAACTGTTGTTGGAGATCAATAGCTGGAATAATTGTTTCAAATGGATTTTAAAAGCTTTTGAAAACTCCTCATCGTTCACGTGGAAGAGGATATTTAAAAACAGTTCGTTTGAAAACGAGTACATTCTGGTCCTGTATACTATTAGTAATCGTATTTAATAGTGAAATGTTATTCCGGATTTTTGTGCTCGTTTGAATTTTGGACTGTCCCCCTCCCTGCCTCACTAATTTCAGTCCTACACTAATTCGATGATTTGATTGGCTACTTGATTCATGTTCTGTGTTTTGATTGGTCGATGAATTGTCTGCCGATTTGGTGCTTATTCGATTTTTGACTCATTGCATACAAACGATGCGATATTTATTGAGACATACCAAGTCTGTATTATTGCCGTAATCGGTTGCCAAATAATATTATTTGGGCCCAACACAGCCCGGGAGGAGTGAGATATTTTAGCCATTGCGCGTCGGCGCGCAGACAGACCTTTACAGAAGCCATTGTACAGTAAATATATTTTCGTACAGTAGATTGATTTTGCAAATGGGGATATTCCTCCAATAATTCTAGTGGAATACAGTATTCAAGCGCCCACGATCTTTTGAAGAACATAACGTTACTATGTTAATGGTAGTAACGTTATGTTCTTCAAAATAATACTACTACGCAGTCGGTGCCGAATCGACGCTATTGGCTAATCCAATTTCGATTTGATTGGCTCTTACACAAAGGACAAGTATATTCAACCAATCAGAACTCCAGCGTAAGAGTTTTGGTGTCGCGCAATCACAATATGTATGTATTAATACTATTAATAGTATAAATACTTTGCACAGTTGTATTATTTCACTAATCAAAGAACTTGGTTTCAGTAATATGTGTGTTTATACGCACTACCAGTCCTACCAGTGTCATATGAGTGCTTCGCGCGTTATCATCGAGTGTTGGGGGTGGTGAGACCTCTATTATGAGATTTACATCATCATGTTGGGTTGTGATTCCTAGCTCCTTGGCCAGATCGAATCATTGTGAGTGTGTAAAGGTTTGTCCAGTCAGAATTTCTCACTGGAAATTTGCACTTGGTCGAAATTTCCAGTGCGTGCCCACTGAAATGTCTCACTGGATCAGTTCATTGGAATATTCCCACTTGCGTAATCACACTACCGGTACAGTCCTGGTAGTACGAAGGATGCAAGAGTCACACACTGCTTTACGGGAGTGCGGGGGTGTTCTCAGCACAGGTTTCGATTGTAGAATGGGAGAAGCCTTGTGTGAGTGCTGTAAACTCTGACGAGTTTTGTAAGGTCGCCGACAGCATTTGATTCGTTTCGACTACTCGGGCGGCAGAGTATGAAAAATCTGAACACCGGTAGGTACTGGTATGGTACCAAAATTCTGAAATTTACCACGGTTTATGGTCCTGTACTGTGAACCACACGCACAAGAATTGCCTTTGTTCAGCTGGTGCGAGGTTGTCGAGTCCGGTACGTGTATTATTTTTGTCATGCTGATGGTATCCTTCTTCGTAACTCGAGATGTCTTCCGTCCTGGAACTTCGATTGGTCTTTCGAGTTTTGAATCATCGCATTTGATTGGTGAAGAAGTTTCATGTTGGGACAATTGCAGTACAGGAATTAAATTAGCTTGGTGCTTGTATTTGATAGTATTATATAGTTCACCATTCGTTTAGGTTTATATTTTGGCAGTAACTCTGCAGCCATTGTATATTCCGGCAATCGGCGGTCGTCGTAGAGGGAGGAGGCGAGGCCATGAAGGCGGAATCAAGCATGCGGCAACGAGGTGGCGGCGTGGACAAGCTGCATGGATGGAACAAGGACTTCCATTCTATCCATGTAGGTGCGTCGACGTCGTTATCGTCGAACAAGGCCCACCACGTGTCGAACAAAAAGCGAGAATTCTTCAGCGTACAGTGGATCATCGCGCCACTGTTACTGTCATGGGGCGTGTGGAATTGCTACATGGCGCCTCATTTGCTCAACGTCTTAGCGGCCTTCACAATCGGAGCACTGATCTTGCTCTGCATGGTGTCCTCCGCGACCACATCATCAACGTGCAACGACGACAGTTGCAGCGATGAAGATAGCATGCAGCTGCGTATCGGCATCAACATCGTTCCCTCCATGAACGCATGGTTTGCGTCCTATCTATCGCCGTCAAGTCAAGACACTTTGATGTCCAACGAACTACATCCATTGCGCCTGCATCGGTCGGCGTCGACGACGTCGACGTTTTCGTCGGACAGTGAACTCGAATATACCGTCCGATGCTCCGAGTCCACGATCGCAATCGACGACGACTTTGATATGTACCAGGACGAAGTCTTCGAGCGTGAGGACGACGGCAACGACGAAGGTGTCTTGTGGACAGCTCCTGACGCACTCAACAGCTGGATGGTGGCATCGCCGGTGCAGTGCCCTCTGGCCCCAGTACTGTCCCAGGTTGCTCCAAGCCCAGTCCAAGTAGCCCCACCAGTTGTCAAAACGCCCAAAGTCACCGAACCCTCAACTTCCACGAAGCGCAAGGTGCGGGAAGAAGCGACAGTTGCGAGTGGACGTGCGGTGTCAACCAAGCGGCTCATCGTTGCTACCTCACGGAAGCGCGCGCCCAAGTCGTCGTTGTGTCGTTCCCCCGAGATCCGACGCATGATGGAAGAGCTCGAGCGCATGCAGGACGAGAGCGATGCGCTGGTCGTAGCGGCGGAATCCGTCGGCCTTGGCGCCAAATGCACAATGAACGAGCGATTGCGGCGCTTGCACAATGCGTAAAGCCAAAAAGTACTAGTAGATAAAACCAAAATAGTGAGAATAACGTACAATGATAAAACCCATAAAACGTGGTCAAAACCCGCAGTTTTAGCCGCTCTTGTTTAAAAAACTCATAAACCCTGTATATGCCTGCTCGAGGTCAAAACTCAATTGGCGAGTCTGGTCTTCGTCGAGTTCGTCGGACGCCCGCATCGCATTGAGGACACGCAACCATTGCTCCAGCTTCATGAGACCGTCAAACGTCGGCGGGAGACCCTTGACCTTCGTGAGGGAGCCCATGGACTCGCTTAGGAGCGGCTGCACCTCGTCCACAGCACGGATGTTCATCTTGAGGGCGTCGCTGAGGGTGATGAAGTGTTGCACCTAGAAGGACGTTTGCATGACGAGCAGAGGAAGCTTCGACTTACCGTCTGCGCGACGTTCACCGCGTCGACACTCGTACTGGTCGTGTTGTGCACGACGGTCGCGGGCACGCCGAGACGCACGAGTCTCTCCACGGCACGCGGACAGTCCAACCGATAATGCGAGAGGAACGCGTCGATCGACACGAGGTGCCCCGCGTTTCGCAGTGCCGTTTCCGCCGTCTTGTACTGAGAAATCAACTTGGTACATGCTTCCGTGTACTATATAGGGAGTGACGACATGTAGACACATCGGAAAAGGTACCTCGTCGGGGGAGATCGCATCACGGACGTATGCAGTCTCAAGGTGTTCGGTTGTCTACCAGTGTCGTGAGCAGGCAAACACCATCACGATGATGCTGTATGTACCTTGATGATCGCATATAGATCAGACATGTCTTCGTACATTCGTCGATCCTTTGCGCTCTCGAAGAGCTTGACATCGGACGGAGGTTTCAATGAGGAAATCGATGTCGCGGAACTTGTGCGTGAGATGGCAAATGTAGTCTGGAGTCATCATGATGACCGACTGCTTCAAGGAAAGAAGAGGAATCGTTCTACCGAGGAGGACATGACGGTGGTCTGCACTTGGATACTTCCCGACGACGTGTACGCATAGGCTGGCGGCTGGGCGTATGACGGCGGATTGTTCATCGCAAGAATCGGGTTTTTTCGCTCTCTCCAGTTGGCTGGAATGTAGGTCCGATACTAACAAAAGAAGGATGGATCTCCATTTTAATACATGTACTGCTGTATACTCGGAGGAATAATGTAAGTTTTTAAGATTAGTATTAACAAATGACGCCATTTCGATGCACGCGGTGATGTCCAAGCATCTAGAGCACATGTACTTAATATTTGTATTAAAGGTGAGGGAATGTCGTCGTGGACATCTATATAAACACCGGCACTACTACTTAGTATTAGACTACTGTACTGTATGCCATTGACTGTGAACACACACGCCCTATAATATATATTGTCGTCCTGCCTACATACATACATGCGTTTACTGTTAATTACTACTAGTATTATTATGTATTAATAACGTTAGTCCTAGTAATACAAGCTTTAACATTACTGTAGTTGTTCCTAGTAACTGACAATTACTGTACGCTTAGACCATTCGTCAGCAGCTAAAAGCTACTATTACATAGTACTATTAATACAGAGTATTACTAGTAAATACTTCGAAGTGTTATTATTAAAATAATAACACTTCGAAGTACTATTAATACAGTAACACATCGAAATCGCGAACACTTTTTGCGTCGTGTCAAATCTAATTTTTGACGCAGCATATCAACATATCTCTGGAATTTCGCAAATCAAAAGGCATGGTAACTAGGAAAATATATTTCGAGCACTATTTTATAGTTCCTATTAGATCATAGGAATTTCGCAAATCTAAAGGCATGGTAACTAGAAAAATATATTTCGAGCACTATTTTATAGTTCCTATTTGATCATAAAACAACTGTGAATGTGTTGTTTGTAGTCGATTATTGCGATCAGTTATAAAAGTCGGAATGACGGGTTGTGCGTTTCTAAATCGCGAACAGGGCGTGTATCTTGATTTTTGTATTGAGGAATAAATATATGCATAATTTATGTTTATTTTATTGCTGTTCGTGATTTCGATGCGTTACCGTACAGTACTCGAGTAGTACTGTAGTACAGTAGTGTTTGAGATGAGACCATTTCGAATTGCCCACGATTTATGGTGGCAAGATATTTATAAGAGCTCACAGCATTGATTGCACCCATATCACTGTCGTGTGAGCGGACTATTAATTTATTTACTACTTCGAAGTACAGTACTTCGAAGTACGTAGTATCACACTGTATCGGTACATCTCCCCCATGGTTCGCGTAGACGATAGTAGTACTGTACACACCGGTTGCCGCAGCTTCCGTAAATGTAAAGTGTGCATCCTTCGACATTTTTAAGTTTTGAATAAGGTTGCTTTGCATGAAAGCTAATGGTTGATGGCAACACTGAGTGCTTCATGCCTTGCCCCATGTATTTCGCACAATCGTGCGTGCGATCTTTGGCCGTTTCAACTCTTAGCATCAACCATAGATTAGGATATTCTATATATTTGCCTATTTAAAGGTGACTTTAGGTAAGTTAGTAAATTAGATTAGGCTTGAGCAAACATCGTACGATTCCCCGATCTACGCAGCCGTTCCGAAATACATCCGAAATTCACACGAACGGTAACTTATACCGTTGACTTCTCTCATGATGCTTTGGCAGATTTGGACCAACTATAATACCGTTAATTACCCCAGTGTTAAAACGTCAATTTGATCGTTTTGTGAATAACGTAATACTATGCAGTAGTATTACTACACGTCGTACTAGTCATACTAAACGTTCCTTCCGCCGTGTTTTCCTAGAAATGGTAGTCTGTACACTACTACAAGCTGTGAAAAGTCATAGTTTTCCCACAACCAGACAACCATATCCATTTCATCATGGTGCAAGTACAGTATTCATTGCTGTTCAGTGGATAGCGTTCATGCAATAGGACTCGACTCATGGGGAAAATAACGCGTTTTACCCATTTACGTTAAACGACGCTTGGACAGTTGCGGACGGTAGTTTTCCGATTTAGACACACGACATGTTGAAGGCGACCATTTTGGAAATATCCTCGTTTCCCTCTGAGCACCACCAGACATGGCGATCCAAGAAGAAACATCGCCGCTTCTGCCGCTCAAGCATGCGCTGCCGCCCGTCGACGACACGGCAGACTTGGAAGCCATCATTCGGGACGAAGTGCCTGCGATGTATCGATTGGCGTATCCTGTGGTACGTTGTCTCCGTGCATGCTCAATGGTCGACTCATTCGCGGGTAGGTGCTGACGTATGTGCTCGAACTGACCCCCGGTCTCGTGAGTTTGGTGCTTGTGGGTCAAATGGCAGCTGAAGACACGAAACGCTTTGTCGATGCCGCCGCGCTGAGTGTCATGTACCTCAACTTGACGGCGCTGTCGGTGGGGATTGGCCTCGCAACCGCCATGGACACACTGTGTGCACAGGCGTATGGCGCCGGCAACATTCGGCACATTGGACTATACCTGCAAACGGGGGCGGTCGTACTCAGCGCGGCCTTTGTCCCGATCTTCCTCGCCAACTTCTACTGCGCCGACATTTTGATATTTTTGAATCAACCCGAGGACGTGGCGGTGCTGAGCGGCGAGTTTTCCCGCGTGTTGGCGTTCGGCCTGCCCTTTTTGTACGCGTATGAGCTGCTAAAGAAGGTGCTGCAGGCCCAGAACATTGCGCTGCCGATGCTGTACAGCGCCATCTTGTGCAATATGGTGAACCTCGTCACTGGTTATGTGTTGGTGAACCACACGAGCTGTGGGTACCTTGGTGCGGCAATCAGCCGGACGCTGGGGAACATGTCACTGCCGCTGTCGCTGGTGCCGTACTTTTATAAGAAGGATCGGTTGGCGTTTTGGCCGGGCTGGCAACTGCACGCGGCGGTGCAAGGCGTGCCCGAGTTTGTCTACTTTGGCCTTGCGGGCATGCTCATGATGGTGTTTGAATGGTGGAGCTACGAGATTATTGCGCTCTTGGCAGGTACAGTGTCGCACATTTTTTTTGTCACGACGGTGTCGCATGAAACCACGATCAATAGGGTTGCTCCCGAACGCGATCGTCGCGATTGGCGCCAACGCCGTGCTCGTCAATATCACGGCGACTGTGTACATGTTTTACCTGGGGATTGCCGTCGCCGGCAACATTCGCGTGGGGAATGCCCTCGGCTCGAACCGCCCTAAGCGCGCCAAGGTTGCCGCGGCCGTCGCAACGATTCTCGCAGGCGGCGTGTCCGTCATGACGGGGCTATGTGTATTTGCGTTTCGATACATGTATCCGCGCGTATTTACCCAAGACTCGGCTATGATTGCGTACGTTTCCCATCCCCGCTTGGGTCATAACAATAGGGTTAACATGGTGAAAGGGTAGGTTAGCGGCCCAAGTGGCCGTGGTCGTGGCTGGGTTTCAGCTCGTGGACGGACTCAACGCTGCGATCCAGGGCGCATTGCGGGGCTGCGGGCTGCAAAACTACGGCGCCGCCATCAACTTCGTGTCGTACCTTTTGTTTGGCCTGCCCGTGGGCTACTTGTTTGAGTTTTCCTTCGCCTGGGGGCTTCCCGGGCTCTGGATTGGCATGACGCTGGGCTACACATTTGCAGGGGTGTGTGGCGCCTATGTCTTGATCAAGCACAACTGGCAGGCGTTGGCGGACGCTGCGCAAGCGCGAGCCAACTCCAAGTGCGACTGAATGTGACGATGTGTGTGCGACAGGGTTTTATAACCAAACGGAGGTGCCACGTCATTGTTGATGGCTTGATTTGTTTTTAAGTGCTGGGGGGAACACTGTACACTAGTAAGAGAGACTGGTTCGTGCCGCCGCCTATGACACACTGGTCGGACGCCGTCATATCGAGCGTGTATTCGTCGTCGTCCACTTGATTGGTCGTGCCGTCGTCGTCGTGGATTGGTTGTCCTGTGCACTGGTGTTAATGGGAAGTTGAACCTAACTAACTGGTAATAACAATAATACCTGGGTTATATAAAATAGTATGGGGATTGAGCTGGGTGGATAACAGCTTCAACTTAGCGAGGAATGGGCTCACTGTCAACTTTGAAACGCGCAGGCGGGTGGCGGTGGGTACAGTCGCCTGTTGTGGTGTCAGTGGCACGACCGACAACGAAGTCGCGTTCGGTTCCCGTGGGAGGCGGTCGCTAGCCTCTCCTTCAGTTGAAGTGGATGCACTTGTTTGGGTTTCGGAAGTCCAAGACGTGGCCAAGTGCTAACCAATGTTGTGACGACGGTATGCACTTGGTACGAATGTGTGACATTACAGGCTTTGACGATTCAGATGAGACTTCTTCACTCGGGAAGAGGGGGGTACTTGACAACTGAGCCACGTACACCCCCACTGCCTGCTGGGCCTGTATCAACGTAGTTAGTCTACTTTTACTCGGTGATGATTGACTCATATGGCGGCATAGCTAGCGGATCAACGGAATGACAGTGCATGGTGGATGTTGTTGACATTGAAAGGTGCGTATGTATGTACCATGGCCACCTCGTCTGCAATAAACTCATGTCGATACGCTTGGACAAGGGCAAACTGGCGAAAGAGGCGGTCGGTTAATGTCTCGAGAAGCGCGGTCGCAGCCTCTACTCGACTCGACTTGATGCGGGACAAGCTGTCCACTTCCAGTTTGGCGGCTGCTCGAGCTTGGATGACATCCTAGCCCACATTTCGTCAAATTCATGTAAAAGTAGGTACTACTTCTATTACTGTAATAGTTAGTATTAATACTTCTTGTAAACGCAATAAATAAGCATCATGTCAAAACATGATTATATTTATGTCAACATATTTGGTTACATACAGTAAGTACCTCATGAACTGCAAGGGATTTTGCTTTGGCGTCTAAGGCCTGCACCGCCGCTGTCATCGTGGCATCCTGTACCCACGTTAGGGATTTTCAATGATCATAACATTGAACGAACCAAAATGGAGCGGGCGGGTGCGTCCAAAGGCGAGGTGCCATGTGGCAACGTTATGTCGAATAAACTCGTCGAAGCTGCATCGAACGCGAGCAAAGCCACCCGCTGGGCGTCGAGTCGCGCTGCCACTTGGCGAATGTGGGCGATATACGCAACATACGTGGCCAAAGCGTCCTTGAACTTGGTGTCGTCGCTGGGCTGGGTCTATGGATTCGCCAGAGTGGTCAGTGAATTGTTTGAAGGGCCAAAGGAGGGAGGGGGTACAGTACTTTGCCCATGGCCTGCAGCACCCCTTGTGTTAACAGTCGTTTCTTGCGCCACAAGTTCTGCGCGATCGTCGGCTTGACTGACATGGCCCACCGACAATGCAGTGACAAACTGCAATGTCGAAAGGGATGGATAGAAACTATAAATAGAACGAAGATGGGAACCCAATCGATCGGTAAAAACATTTCACTTTGGAATGCTGCCCACGAGCTAAACTTTCTACACCTCAATCGTGGTCTTATGTCATGTGACGTACGGACTTGTGCACTTCGTTTGCATGAGTAAGCTGTCGAAGGGCTGTTGATGAGGTTGAATTCAGAACCCCACATCTCATCAATCAAGTGGGCTACCGCTTGACATCTCAAGAGTAAAATGCAGCCTAGAATACAATCAAAACTACACGATGTACTGGATCGGCACAGTGAGCCTAACGGTCGTGGCGAAGGTGGTGCCTTGCATGCACTAGTGTCATCAACGGCTACACAATCTGTAACAAATGCAAATATACTATTAGGGTCAACCGGTGCAATTTACACTACAGCATTCAGAAATGCAAGACTGGGGGAACTCGTTGTGTCGTTCACTCGCCGTCGAATTCTGTCACTTGGCTGGCTCCATCTTGTCGAATCAAAGCAAACTGTTGGTTCTTGATGTCCTTATGGCGGCGAGGCAAGCACGTCCACAGGTGGGGGCGGACCCCGTCGTCCGCAAAATCCAAGCAAAACCCCTCGAACGTCCCGTGGCGCAACTGCTTGGTGCGGTCGTCCAACTTCCACTTTTGGTTGGGGTTGGTGTCGCTGCATTCCCACAAGTGCACGGTGCCACCATTGGTCGCTTCAAATCCATCCAAACACAACGACGTGCCTTGCAACTGCACCGACCGACGAACTGGGTCGACAAACCAGTACTGGTTAACGTTGCTTCCGGACGGCAAGAACGTTACTTTGCGAAGAAGACCCGAGAGGACTTTGCCCTTGGCTCGTAATTGCACCACAGACTTGACCTGAAAGACTTGGTTGCCCATGTCGGGACTCGTCGCATCCAAACACGTCCACAAGTGCGTCACGCCCAACTTGGCGTTGAAATCCAGACAAAACCCAGCAAACGTGCCGTGGCGGAACTGCTGGTGGACGACGTCGTACACCCACTTTTGGTTAGGGTTGGAAGCGTCGCACGGCCACAAATGCACAGTGCCGCCATTGAACCCTTCGTACCCATCCAAGCACAAGTTGGTACCAGCCAAGCGCACAGATTTTTGCGTCGTCGGGTCGACAGTCCATTGCTGACCAGTGCTTTGGATGGACGAGCCAGCAGTCTTTGTGAACGCGATGATCCGAGTAGCGGTATTTCCAGTCAGCACGTAAGCACCATTGGCGATCGTCGATGTCACCAATGGCGTGGTGGGAGCTGGCATTGGTGGACGAGTCGGCCGAGGCGTCGACGAAAGAGTCACCGTGGGTGTGAGTTCTGGAGTTGGTTGAGGAGTACTAGCCGATGATGTTGGTTCAGGGGTCGAGTGGGGGGTAGCTTCAGGAGTAGGAGCCGGAGTTGGCTCAGGTGTACGCTCAGGAGTAGGTTCAGGAGTAGGTTCAGGAGTTGGCTCAGGGGTAGGAGCTGGCGTTGGCTCGGGGGTGGGTGCAGGGGTTGGTTCAGGGGTGGGAGCTGGCATTGGCTCAGGTGTAGGCTCAGGGGTAGGAGCTGGCGTTGGCTCGGGGGTGGGTGAAGGGGTTGGTTCAGGGGTGGGAGCTGGCGTTGGCTCAGGTGTAGGCTCAGGGGTAGGAGCTGGCGTTGGCTCGGGGGTGAGTGAAGGGGTTGGTTCAGGGGTGGGAGCTGGCGTTGGCTCAGGTGTGGGCTCAGGGGTAGGAGCTGGCGTTGGCTCGGGGGTGAGTGAAGGGGTTGGTTCAGGGGTGGGAGCTGGCGTTGGCTCAGGTGTGGGTGCAGGGGTAGGTTCAGGAGTAGGAGCCGGAGTTAGATCAGGAGTGGGTGCAGGGGTAGGTTCAGGAGTAGGAGCCGGAGTTGGCTCAGGGGTAGGAGCTGGTGTTGGTTCAGGGGTGGGTGCAAGGGTAGGCCCAGGTGTAGGAGCTAGCGTTGGCTCAGGCGTGGGTGCAGGGGTAGGTTCAGGAGTTGGAGCCGGAGTTGGATCAGGAATGGTGAGCTCCATGATCCGCATTGCGCGTATGGCTGGAGGTTGAGGTACTACGGCTTGACGAGAGCCATGGTGAATGTAATAGTTTTCGCTGTCTCGGAGGTCGTTACCCGT